AAAAAGAACAAAAGAATTACCCATGACGTTTCCCGAACCAAGTCGTAGGGTTTAGCAGTGGTTTATCTAACCACAAGAGTAGTTCAACCAGTCGGATGGAAGAAAATAGTAAATCCGGAAACCGCAGCACATGCTGGGCATTTTTGTGGTGTTGCGCTGAAATCGCGGCAAATATCCTCGCAAGTACCAAATTCAAGACACGCGACATCAAACATGGCCAACTTTCGAGGTTCACATTAAGTATATTTTACTCGTCTTTGCTCTGAATACTCCAATAAAAACCATTAGTTTCGCGGTTTGTCATCTCCATGATGAATTAATTTCCCGCCGAACACTGCTAGGTCAAAACTTGACCTCGGGTAATTTGCGATGTAACCGGAGGATTAAACCTGACCGGAAATCCAAACCCATCCCAACCCAAGGTTATTACCCGCTGGGTTACCTCGGGAAGGAGGCGAGTGTAACCACAGCTATTGCTGATTATTTTTACTCGTTGTTTGTATTTTGACTCGTCCCACAGGCCCGTCAAAATACGGCACAACTCGTAAAAATACTCAGCGATACTACACAACGTAAACACCTAATAAGATATATATATATATATATTAGCTGGCGCTGCACTGTTTCTATGGTGTAAACAATCTACTTTGTCGATGAATAAATCGAATGCGTGACATGACACCTCCCTGAAACACGTGGAAAATGTTGTTTCCAGATAAAATATCACGTTTGTTGGGAAAATGGAACTGACCCAAGCTCTTTGATTTTCTTGAGTTTCAGGCATGTTTACGATTTTTTTACAGATTTCTATTTCGCAAATTACAGATTTTCATTTCGTTTCGTTTCGTTTCATTTCGTTTTGAAAATTACAGTAAGCCACCAGTATAGGTAATACATGATTTGGAGTGCAATTTGGTGTAAATAAGCACGAATAAATTTTTCAAAGACCACAAAATTGCTTAGGCTCGTTGGGCGAGTGCAATTTGTGGCCTTGAAAAGTTCTTAAGTACTGTAATCTTCGCCTATGCGACGCACCGAATCGCAAATCTAAACGATGTTGGATCCGACGGGTAACATGGCAGGGGCTACCACGGCCCTCGACCATTGCTGTTAAACTACTGAAAAATACCGACAAATGAAGCAAAAGTGGTGACATGTTACCACTGAATACACCTTTGTTTATCAAAATAAGCTGCGTTTTGATTAGACCACTACAGTCAAGCATAACGTTGTTATGGCTAAGGTAATGTACTTTCAGCTAATCAGAACCAAATCGTCTGACAAAAACAACCACATAAGCCAGCAAGTTATGGTGTGACGTTATCAGAATTAAAAAATAAAGAATCATCAGTACTTTTGAGATTTTTGTTAAGTTAGTTATGAGAAAAACTGAAGACTTATCTTTTTGCGAATCATGTCTCAGTTTGAGAGGCTTTTTCGTCTTGTGCTAGAGCAAGGTTGATTTTTCTAAGCTTTTGCGTGATACGATGTTAAATGGCCACCGAGTATGCTGTCACTTAGTTAACTAGACGCATAGCTGCGTGAACTCGGGCTTTCAATTTGGCACATCTGAAGTTATCTTTAGGGGACTGCCTTATTGCCATTGTTATTGTCCTCAAGCAATTCCGTCATTTCTGGTCACGACTAATTCTACTTGTGTTTTTTGTTGTCTGCTGGAGTGTAATAATATTACCATATAGGAGTAGGTTCCTTGAATTTCAACCTTTGGCATCTGAAGGACTTTTCAATGACTTTGTAGGCCAAGTGTTAGAAAATTGAAGGACCACTTTTGGAAAGATTTGCATAAGCATTTATAAAATTATTTAATATTATTTCTCAGCTTTTCAATGTAAGTACAGTAATTTTCAACTTGAAAATCGCTAAAGAAAAAGCATTGCAAAAATCAACCCCTAGTCCTTACATTCAAGTACTCTCAAGGCATTTCATTTTTATTTTTAAATTCAAGCATCTTCAAGGACTTTCAAGATTTTTACGAACCCTGAGTAGGTAATGTATTTGCCTTTAACTGCAAGGAGAAGGGAACTTTTTATCTATTATAGGTACCGAGTCATAGCTTGTTGCCAAATGTTCACCCACGGGGAGTTGTCAGAAATCAGTAGATTGAAGAAATATTGCTGTTCAATGATTCATATTGTTTTTAGTAGGAAAATCTCTGAATATTGAATATTGCTGAAGGCTACAACAAGAGAAGCAGTGCTATCTACAGTTTTAGTATATTAAATTAGAGGCATTTGACTTTCATTAAATGCCAAGAGGGAATACACATATTTTGACCTTTCTGTGGGTTTAAAAATACATGTCATACAAGAACTGAAAACCACATCAAAAACCTCTATTCTTTCCTACAAGATTTTTGAGAATTTATTTTCTGTCAACTGAGTCAGACAATATTCCTTCACTGTGATCACTTTTAGAATATAAACTTATTTCAATTCCACAAACATCAACAGTTTTTGGCAAATCATCTTATAGTCTGGGAGCAAAAGTGATCCCGTGTGAAGTTCGTGCTGAAAGCAAGCACCTAGTGTAAAAGTGTTCATTAGGACCTACTAAACAAGAAAAGTTTTAGTGTAAGCTTTGCAACTTGCTCAGACCGCTTTTAAGGGGGGGTTAAATTCTGACCCATGAAATCCAGCGTGAAAACGAGGCTAAAACACAATTCCTCATAACTTTGTTAATAACAGACGAAAATATACCAAACTTGCTCATATGATTGGGCATGATCCTCCCTGTTGATTTATGCTGATTTACATAGGTCGCATGAAAGCGAGGCTGAAACATAATTTTCCATAAATTTGTCAACAAAAATCCCTATCGTGCCAAACTTGCTCACCTTAGTCAGTTAGACATCTTGCATCGATTAGTGCTACTTTGTAGTGTCACGTGACCCCATACATGGAAACGAGGCTAGATATATCTGGTAGCAAGGTGTAGGATGGCATTTGTCTTGCCAGATGTATTAACAACTACAAGGCAGATACATATCTGGTTATCCGAGTTCAGATATAAAAACTTCAACTAATCATTGTCCTATGGCCCATAGCACAGGGACGAGACGGATAAAGGAAATACCGCGGAGGCTCCATTTCAGAATCTATCTTGTACACATAATCAATAATTTTGCCAACTTATGATACTGGCTCCATGTATTCATTTTCGCATGTATATTTGAAGAAGGGCAGAAAATGAAAATAGCGACTACTGCTATTTTATATATGCAGTCATGAAAGTCTTACTGAATATCTATATACATTGTTCAGTTGTCCATTCCTATGAAATTTCCTGTTCGACTTCGTCCTTAACATACTCATCATCACTCTCAGCATACTCGTTTTGGCAATCTTCAGAGCACAGACAGAGATCAGTACAGACAAGTCCGGCTTTTTGACACTGACAACGGTTGTTAGAGCAACGAGACTTGGCGCACTTGCATCGGACAAGCTGTATAATTGCCTCTGGAGCTGGTGGAAGATTTGTCATGACTGGTACCCACTTTCCATCTTCATCTTGCCATCCATAGCCTTCTGGTGAGGGCAACACCGGGTTTGCTAC